GAGGGATTGAGAGCGCCAGAAATTCAATTGACCTGTAAAAACAGATAGTGTGTAAAGGGAATCCTTTCCCTGCCAAGCAAATATTTAGAAAGAAGAAGCAATAAAATGAATAAGCAACAAAGTAATATCCTGCCTCGCTGGCCGCCGGGGGCTGCTGGGATGGGCTGCTGCCCCCAACACTGTGATAACCCCGAGCAGACAAGCAGCAGGAACCTGTTTCCTAGAGAAAGCGTGTTTGCTTTTACCATCTAATCCATCAAAAACTCATCCTGGTGCCTTGGCAGCGCTGGGACCTGTCTCAGGTAGCCCGGCAAGCTGGGCACCAGCCCCGCATCCCTGCAATGGCAACTGCGGCACGAGCTTGGTGGTGGCACAGGGGACAGGGCTTGTCTGTCCCCTTGTCTGTCCCCTTGTCTCCCCTTGTAGGGGTCTCTGCTCTTTGCTCCCAAATCCCCATGCAGCCTCCTCCGGCGCCCTGGAGATGGGAGCACAATGGGGAGGTCTGCGAGGGACGTGGGTGCTGTGGAGTGTGAGGGGTGTGTGGGGCAGAGTGTCTGAAAGGAAATTCCAGTGTGCCTTGGTGAGGAAATCAAAATGGTTTAGGAAAACAAAAAAACAAAAACCCCAGGGTTTGGTTTTTTTTTTATATTAAAAAACTCCAGGAAAATATTTTTGGTTAGGGAGTGGTGAGATGGGGTCCAGCCAGGGCTTTTGCCAAGCACCAGGGACCCTCTTCTCCAAGTTGCTCAGCATCTCTGTGCCCAGCCCTTTGGTATCCAAGTGATTTGAACCAGAGACGTCCCCTTGGGTTCATGTCTGAATTGGAAAAACTCTGTGGAAAACAAAGATTTTTCAGGAAAAAAAAGATATAATGTATGTACATATGTGTATGCATGTGTGTGTATATATATGTATATATATTTATATATGTATAAAATAGAGAAAGTAGAAGGAAGGAAAGTGATTTTATGGGAAAACTCTCAACCAGCTCTAGTGCTGAGCAGTTTTAGGTCAGTTTGGAGCTTTCTGAGCATCTTCCCCCCCATGGTGGATATTGACCCCACTAATTGACGTTAGGGTCTGAGACTGCTTCTCCTTTACTGGCATGAGTTAGAACATTGACCCCACTAATTGACGTTAGGGTCTGAGACTGCTTCTCCTTTACTGGCATGAGTTAGAGAACCTTTTCTGGGGGGTGTTTGTGGCTACTGAAGCCATCTTGGAATGTAGTCACTACACAGAAATCAAAAAGAGGTTTGGATTCACATTGGTGTAAAACTGAATTTTCAAGGGATTGTTGGCTAAAAATGTAGACTTCCTTCCCAAACTTCCCCAGACTGAAGAGGAAAAAGCTCTAAGGAAGAAAGTGAATTTTAAACACTCAATTATCACATTTTCCTGAGGTTTTATCCCTGTTTGCTATGAGACTGAGCTCCTCTAGGATGCTTGATAGCTCCGGGGATCTGCTGCTAGCATCTCAGACCCATGAAAAGAGAGCAGCTCTGCTTCTCCACGCATGAGATGTCGTTTGGGAGCGAGTTTCTTGTAGGTGTCTCCATTGGTGAGCTGCTGGTTCTGGGCCCCCGATGGCATGAGAAAACCCCACGTGCCGTCATCGGCTATCGCCGTCCTACCTCAGGTGCCACTGAGGTTGCAAAATATTCCCCAAGCATTTGTTTCTACCAAGAGCACATGCTAGAAGAGAGCTGCAAGATGAGCTCGGTGAAGGAGGGGGGGGGGAAATAAAAAAAGATGGCTTAAATTCAATGTCTTTTAAGATGAATATTTCCATTCATTCCAGAGCATATTCCTCTGGCATTTCCAGTGCTCTCGTTTAGCTGAGTAGTTAACAAACTTCATTGAAACACATGTTATAGTGCTCTCTAGTGCACGGAGCTATGAATGAAGGATGCCTCTTTTGAGATATCTCGATGTGCAGCACAGCTCTTGCTCTGGAGCAGCCTGTTAACCACAACAGCTGCTTCCCATTGTGGAAATACTATTGGAAAAAAAAAAAAACCAACCCAAAAAACCCATAACCTAAAACCTATCCCAACAACTGGACAACACACGCAGATGATATTTAAATCCCTACGTGAGGGTGAGCTGGGACACGTGGAAATAAAAGATAAGGCAAGAAATAACCCAGCCAGGAGACTGATATCTCCAGTGCCCGGCGTGCTCCCGCTGAGCTCTGTTTGCCAAGCGGTCCGAAGCAGCTGGTCTCTGTGTCCGACTTAGTTTACTCTGTTTAGCTTTTATACAGCTGAGTGATTTTTATAGTTGCCGGGAAGCTCGACAGGATATTGGTCACCTCCTAATAAGAGTTTGCTGGGTTGGCACATCAGCACGAACACCCTTGAATTTTAAACGCCTGGGAAACGGCGGCTCCTGCGACCCCGTCCCTGAGTGCTTGGAGAGTCCTTGGGCAGAACCCGGCTTTTCTGTTTAATAAAGGAAAAGGCAAGTCTTGGTTGTAGCCTAGGAGACTGGAGAGCAGCCGGGAGCCCCAGCCTCAGGGCTGGGCCCGATGCCCATCCACCCACACCACCCTTGATGGTGATAACTCCGGGAAAGACCCCCAAAAGCCAAGGGGGCTAGTGCTGCCCTGGGCAGATGGGGATTTGGGTCATGCTGAGCATGAGGTGGGACCTGTGAGAGCAAACTAGAGATGGGCTCAGTCCCCTGGGTTTGCCTGATCCCTTTTTGAACGTGTTGGTAGAAGGTGGATGTAATTTTATGGCATCACTGAAGGTCCCCAGCCCTGCCTCTGCTGGGAGCGGGGCTGGCTCCCACACTGGATGAGGTTGCTCAGGGCTGGGGCCAGTCGAGTGCTGACTGTCCCTGAGGAAGGAGATTTCACAACTTCTCCACTTGATCTGAACGTTCTTTCTTTTCCTTTTTTTTTTTTTTGTAACCCTCCTTTTGAAATTTGGAATGGAAAATAGAAAGGTTTTAATTTTTGGATTTGTTTCTCTTTTCATTTTCCATTACAGGAGGTTTACGAAAGATTCAGAGGTAAAGGTAGTGACTTGCAAGAGGGGGTAACCTAAGCTGGAACAGAATTCAAATCGTTCCTTCCCCCATGGTGGCACAGCACATTGAAAAACCAGCAGGTGTGTAAAATCCCCAAGTTGATAGGAAAACTAACCCACAGGATTATTTTTTTTTAATCCATGATTTCTATTTCTTGGAAAGCAAAAAAAACCCTAAAAATTCAAGATCATCACATTTATCTGCAAAACAACAGGCACGAGCAGTGTTCCCTTCTCTCCTAGTTATTCCTGCCCAGCTTACAAAGCCGACCAAATCAGGATGGTGGCAGTGATGGCACATCCTCTTGCTCCTAGTGACTTTGCTTTTCCATCATTTGCCTCCCCATTAATCTCAGTACAAACAAAGGCTCTGAAGAGACAAGCTGAAAAGCTCCTGGGGGTACGTTTAAATCAGTCCTTTCTAATAATGTCTGTCGACCTCTCTGTGGAAGCACTGCTCCCCAAGGAAAGGACACGGACCCGTGGCAGCGTGCTGAAATATGGTGGGGTGTAATTAATTCTGACCTCTGGCTCCCGCTCACTCACTCTCAATATTAAATTTGACTAGTGATATTGTGGTTTTTCAATTATCCTTGTTTTCTTGGGGGCACGGTGAGGGAAGGGGGTTGCTGCTCGAAATTCAGCTTGGTGGGAGACGCATCGGCGGGGATGCAGAACTGCCGTGCCGTGGGCTGGATGGGATCGATCCTTGGGTTGTCTCCATTGGGATGGTGTTTGGGCTTGGTCGTGGTGTTGTGTGTGCCTCTCTCCCTCCTATCTGTGTCCCTACTGCCAACAAAACCAGATGCTGCAGCGGTGCTGTGATGGGACCAGCTCCCTGCCTGATGCTACACACTGTAATGGGGAGAGGGCACAAAAAGAAGCAGCCTTTAGGGAAATGAGGAGAAAAGTCAGCATTCTGGTCTTGTTCTTCTGCCCTTGACCAGGAGGTCGTTTTGTGGCTGCTCCTGAAGGCAGTAGAGGATTTTTATCAAGCTCCTTGATGGCCTGGAGGGGACCCAGAGCCATCAGCTCCTATAGGACCTTGTTGGTGAAAGTCCTATTAGTATGTCCTTGATCAGAAATGGAGCAACTTAAAGCAGCCTTAGAAGCCGTGCACTTGCTTGACCTTTTATTTTGGTGCAGAGAAGGCTTGAGGGTTGCTCGTGTGTTTTCTCAGCAGCTGTTTGCTTGGAAGGCTTCCTTTGTCTGTTTGTTTAACCCCATCATTCTAGCAGTGCCCCTGCGTGTCCCAGCGTGGTCTCTGGAGGGTCCGGGGAGTGTTAAGTGACCACTTTCGGACCTTGTCCAGGGGGCAGGGATGAAGGTGCCCTTTCCTGGGAAGGCTCAGATGATTCACATGTAGCAGAAGGAGGGTAAAGCAGCCCAGTGCCAACCCCCTCCTCTTCTGCTGCCCTCCTTTCCCCTTTGCCACCACCTCCCAAGCATGTCCCTCATCGCCAGTGTCCTCTGCCATGGCACCTGGTGCTAGGAAGGGGATGTGGAAGCTGCTTAGGTGCTAGTGAGCATCAGGGCAGGAGCTCATTTAGGGATGCTCCTGCAGGACAACCATGTGTAGACCCCCTGGATTAACCCCTCCAGAGTCCCTGGGTGGGTCTGTCCCCTCCTCCATGCCCTGGCTGTCCCCAAGGGTGGCTCTGCATTTGAAAGCAAGCTGTGCTTTTTGGTATCCACTGCTGTGATGGGAGGTGTGCAGGGCTGGCATGTGTGGCAGAGCAGGATACTGGATGGGGTAGGACCACTAGGTTTGGATCCTGAGAGAGCTGGGTTAGGTGAGGAAAGGTGAAAAGCAGGACTCACAGGATTCACCTCCCTTCCTCACCTTCCCCGGCCTCTCAGAGAACACAGCCACCAGCCAGCTGCTCAGGGGTGGATTGCAGGAGGCCAGGAGTTCTCTGTTTGGATTCTCCATTCCCAGTTCCAGCAGCGGCTCGGCTGGTCCCTGGGGAGAGCTCGCACCCCAGGGCCACGGCAGTGAGCTCATGTTAGCCCCCAGGGTGACACAAACCCATTTCAGCTTGGTTGCCATGTCCCCTCGAAGCATCAGAAGACACATTCAGGCAGCAGGAA